TCCTGAGAACGTATACGGGAAATCGGTGGATTTTCAGGTGTAGATTCAGACGAAAAAAGAATGACTTGAACAATACACGAAAAACTGAACCTGAATCACGTGGAATATTGATGTTCTTCCAACGTTGTCCAAGTACCGTTCCAGTAAGATTCCATGAGAGAATGCACACCTTATGCATTTTGTGATCATGTCCCTTTTACGAGTTCTCTACAGTGATCCTAATTCCAAGTAGGTAAGAAATGTCCATTGACAAAAGCCATTCGTCATTGTGATTCGTGCTACAAATCTGCCCACTCTACTGGAAGAAGTCACTTCTATCGATTCTGTAATTTTTGTACAGCTATTTGTACGGCTATTTTAACGAGTCCAAACTTCTAAATCTAAGTGTGCAGTGCTTCGAAAACATAAGTGAACCATCCAACAGATTTTGAAAACCCCCCACTTCTTTGCGTACATGGTAAGTTGGGTTACCTGTATTCGCAATTCGCCTACCGTTACGATTAGCCTGAAAGTGCTTGCGAGTACTTTTTCTGCGAACTATTGGAAAAGGTTGACGGTGTACTCAAAAGACTGTCCAGAATACGGTTGGCAGGTCACGTCATGTAGTGCCGGAATCTTTTCCATCTCATAGTCGTTCAAGTGCCGGCGTCAGTCAAATCCCCATAGCAACCCAACTGTGCCAGTGAACTTGAGTTTACAACGCTTGTACCAAGGCTTCCGAACAGATATGCATAATTGACCAGCCGACGGTATCCCGAAGCTTGCATGTGTATGGAACCTTGGCCACACACCCCGTTGGACTTGTCTATTTGTATCACCTACCTTTGCATCGGACAAGGTTGTACTGAGTATAGTAATCATTGTCGAAAACTAAGTCACCTGGAAATTAAGTGGACGTCACTGTCCATTTACCACACATGCCATGTGAATTCAACCACCTCCTATATATGGACACTCCAATGAACGGCGCTATAACCGCAGTAAGAATGGGATGAAATGCAGAAAAGCTCAAGAAGCGAAGACGTCCATTCTTGCTGGGGCTGGCCAAATGAGTTTAGAGGGCTAGGGGACGTGATCCAATGTTTAACACCTTCAGACTGATGCCTTCCCGACCACAAGTTCAATAAATTTGTTAAACGTTTTACACTTCTTATGAAGTTGCTGAAAACTCTCCCGTCAAAACCAGATTGGTATGCAAATGAGTGTATTTCAGTAAATTTCAGTTAGTCGTGAAATTATCACTTCAAACCTACACGTTCTCCTGACAGACAGAAAAGATTGTGAGTTAGCGCATCAACAACCCACAAAAGAATCCCACACAGGCGTCACCAGACTGGTCAAAAAGGTTGCAAACGAAACTAAGCTTGTAAACTTCAGTTCGGTGCTTTGACTACCTAGTAGAGTAAAGTGAATCTAAGTAGGGCGAAAAGTTATGCATTTTAAGGCAAATCTTCAGCGTTTAAATTTTGCGTGTCAGACATATGATGCGTTAAAAAAATGGACAAATAATGTCAGTAACCGCTTTAGAAAATTGTGAAAGATGTGAATGTACTACACGGAGCTGCGGAGTAATAGAGAACGGGTCACTTAATTTATAACAGTAGTACGATAAGTGGAAGCTCTACCCAGGTGGAAATTGGTACCCATAGCGAGTGCATGAGGTAGACATGGCCATAACGGGTTAATTGCAAAGAAGGTGAAGAGCATCGGAAAGTAGTCGTTGGATGAATGTGAAAAACTCCTTACCTATAACCAAGTTGACCAAAGCGTTTCTTGATGTTTCACTGCACCCACAAAGGCTACAATATTTGATGGTAGTCCGAGGAGATTGGGAAGCGATCCTTCTCAGGAACTCACGTCGAAGCAAACAGATGAGAGTTACACACATTGTCGAGGGCTACAAGCATCAACAAACTTATGAATAAATCTGGGTGCAACAGAAGGAGCTCTGATGGAGCGGCTGTGATCGTCCCCGCTTGTTTTATGAATGCTTGAGCGGGATGAAGAAGGACCTAGGAGGGCTAGTTTCGATCACGTGTTGTTCTTCTGTGCTGTTCAAGCGTTCTCAACAAACACACCATTATCCTCATTAGTCGTTGTTCGAACGTACGACCAGAGTGCAGGATTTCGGTTGATTTTTCCATAGAACATCTCATTAAGGATCTCATTAATTTTGTGGCAGTCTCTCTAATAAGGACGACCTATGAGGCCTGGTCAGTGTGTTACATTCTAACAGAAAGGTTTTCTCTATGGTAGACGGGTCGATATCGTCCTACGTTTGAAATGGTATCCGAATTCTTCGTAGGCAGTGTATTTGGTTATTCTGATGGAATCTCCTACGTCTGCTTAGGTTTCACATCTTTCACTTTTCTTAACCTAGTCTCGAAGATTCTAACTCAGTGGCAATTAATCCATAAGAATAATAAGGAACAAACAGCAGACTTTTATCCCGGATTCTCAGTAACTGAAGCAAACATTGTGTGGATTTTTCTGTAATCATAAATTCCGCTTGCTTTCATCTGATGCTTACCGTAAACATAGCAAAGTTCGTTCACTAAAAATTTACACCTAATTCCCAAGTACGGATCTTCTAGAAACGGCAAACCAGAAAGCTTAGGGATAAATGGAACGGTAAGCATCAGATGAAAGCAAGCGGAATTTATGATTACAGAAAAATCCACACAATGTTTGCTTCAGTTACTGAGAATCCGGGATAAAAGTCTGCTGTTTGTTCCTTATTATTCTTATGGATTAATTGCCACTGAGTTAGAATCTTCGAGACTAGGTTAAGAAAAGTGAAAGATGTGAAACCTAAGCAGACGTAGGAGATTCCATCAGAATAACCAAATACACTGCCTACGAAGAATTCGGATACCATTTCAAACGTAGGACGATATCGACCCGTCTACCATAGAGAAAACCTTTCTGTTAGAATGTAACACACTGACCAGGCCTCATAGGTCGTCCTTATTAGAGAGACTGCCACAAAATTAATGAGATCCTTAATGAGATGTTCTATGGAAAAATCAACCGAAATCCTGCACTCTGGTCGTACGTTCGAACAACGACTAATGAGGATAATGGTGTGTTTGTTGAGAACGCTTGAACAGCACAGAAGAACAACACGTGATCGAAACTAGCCCTCCTAGGTCCTTCTTCATCCCGCTCAAGCATTCATAAAACAAGCGGGGACGATCATAAGGGCTGGTAAATTTCATTGTAGCTAATACAAAATAAGCCGTGGTTAGGCGTGGCAAAGTAGTTTTTGGAAAATTTCCCGAGTTCAGCTTGTCTTCCTTCTGAACAATGATCAGCCTAGGAGCCAGTCAAGATTTAATCACGTGATTGACTGATGAGTGGCGCTAGAAGTAATTCGGAATGAATTAAGCTGCTCACGCATCTTATTGTTGGATGAAAGTGGGTACGTATCTTTCTGGAGATTCACGAGTTGTGAACTGCTGATTATTACCAGAACCGGCGTGATAAATGGTGCTTTTCGGTTTTTAATAACATTTGAGCGTCGGTTGGGAAACGAACTATTAGTTCAAAACTTGTGCAAATGCGAGAACCCCATATCCAGTTCTACATAAAACGGTGTGCGTCACACTAAAGTATTTTTAATGTATGTTGGATCTGAAATGTTTGGAAAAAATCTTCATGCGACATAGAAATGCTGCCCGTCCAGCAAATCCGACCCAACCAGGTAGAAAATAACCCATCAGTTTATTCGGATCGGTTTATTCAGTGAGTTGTAATTCATGGGAGCCTCCATCAGTATCAATTATGGAGGAATTATGGAAAAACCCTGAAGGAAGCTATTTATTGTTAGAGTTCGATTTACCGACCTGATTTCTGATCTGTCATCAAAAGTGGACACTTCTAATGTTGAAATCTGATTATATTGATGAAGCTGACTTTGCTGAGGCAGCTGAGCATGTGGAGTTCAAGGCTTACCCCCTCCGCCAATTGATCTTCCATTTCCTGATAATGCTATTAGCAAGCCTTACTGAAGAAACTTGATCCAAACTGTGATATTTATTTCTGGCGGTGGAAAATTGTGGGGTGAGCAGGTCTACAGTCATTTAATAGATAATTCTCCGGCAACTACACAGAGAAAATATTCAGCGCCTATTTGCGTCCGCTGAAGGCATAATAAGCCAGCAGAGTGAGGGCAGTTCGGTAGCAAGTAAATTATGGTCGACGGGAAAAAAGAATTTCTGACAGTCAAGAACAGCCACCCTCATCTGAGCAGTTCTTTTCCTGTTCTTGCGCATTTATTCTGATGAGCTTTAATAACAGCAAAACTTGAGTCCAGCGCTTGCTTTCCCTTTTTGTGAACTCAACAAGGGCAGGAGAATGATCATTCAAACGAGAGTAAGTAAACGTAAATTCTACAAAACTTGAAACCAGAAACAGCTAAAGAAAAATTGCCTACTAGGCTTAATGGTATCCGTGGCGCTACCTGACTTTGTGGAAGTCCTGATAGGTGGGTCACTCGATAGATACGACTAGTTCAGTTGCTGGGTCATCATTCGAGGCGTCCGGTAAAACAATCAAGTCGCTCAGGCGGGAACATGTTCGCCTTTTCAGACGCGAAAATTCAAATATTTTCTGTGTGTGTTGGTGGAGTGGTGGCAACACGCTTACCTCGCACGCGCGAAGTTCAAACCTCGGCACGGCCAAGGATATGCACTACTTCTGAGCTCTAAGAAGAGTGGAACTCAAGTCAGTACTTCCCCATTTTAGTGTGAAGTCATCAGAATAACTGCGACAGGACAGCAGTAGAAAATTTCAAACGAGGTTGAGGTGAAGGCGATTTCCGCAAATCCCCTAACCACTTAAAAAGGATATTACGAACATCTGAAACTTCTCTACAACGCCGCAAAGTGGTAGTTGTACCGAAACCTGAACAGTCTATCGTTGGTTGTACCCTGTTTTTGAGTCTTTATAAAAGGGTAGTCAATCAAGCAGTCCGTATTGTACATTATTTCTGATTCACTATGGGACTTTTAAACTCCAACAGACATTTTTGGCCGACAAACATTATTGGACATACAGTCGGGTGGGTATCATTGGAATACAGTTACGTGTTGGATTCGATTTGTGTCAGACGGAACGGCGAGCTGTGTCAAGTACATATGAAAATAGTTTCACGAAGACCTCATTGCAGCCCCTCAACTACTCCACGTTAACTTATTTCGATCGAAAATGCAACGACCAATTCAGTTTGGTGGGGCATTACCTTAGGAATGTTTAAGTCTGGAATACAGTTCGCGAGCTTACATTCAGTGTGATGTACAACGTCAAATACAAGTTTGTGGCGCCAAACCAAATCAAATTGAAACTGCACTAGGTATTCACGGCTATTTATTTTGTGTTGCAGTACATGCACGGGTGTGTAGCAGAACTTCCTGCAGACGCCGCACTGTCATGTGGTAAAGTTTGTAAGGGGTATGCAAATCACAAATCAACCTTTTTGTAGTAGCCACTGAGACGAAGCAGACGCGAAACTCACTTCCAGTGCTCTAATCTACCCCAAATGGAAAAAACGAGAGCATTCGGTCCGTTTCATTATATGGGTTGTTGTCTCGCTGGACCTTTGCTTTTTCAAATAATTACATCAATTCCATGACTGTTTGCAACGAGTGGTCTCAGAAGTGGTTTTGGAAGACGACGCGTAAAACAAGACCCTTCGATTCCCCACAGAAAATTGTTGAACTAAGCCTTCTGACTCACGAAGAGATGTAGGAATATGGTCACAAAAACAGTTTCTTACTATAATTTGAGTCCGTGAGAACTCCGTCAAAATCCAAGTTTGAATGGTATCGTGTGAGTACAATTTCACTTATTGTGTTCGCAGACGTTTGCAACTCACACCTTAAATTTTTTACACAAGTTTCGCGCCTTCCTTAAAACCTATGAAAATTTCGAGTACTCCAACTAACTCAACAATCGCAAACACTGATCTTTTGGCAGCTATCCACTAATCTGGATACACATTTGACCAATCTTTTGATATCTGCTCTTGCCTATTCCACTGTCCTTTTGTTTTGAAACCCGGAAACGATCAGCAGCAACTGAATACGCAATCCTTCGTTTGTTCTACCTTGCTTCACTCACACAAAAGATGACAGTTCTCAACAGCGACACACTCCGTAACTGCCCTGTTTCCGGTGAATGACTGACAACTAGTCGAGTATTATAAACCAGCTTTGTTTCTACGCCACTAGCTGGAGTTACAACGTTCTTGTAACTTTTATAATTGTAAGTGAATCTTTTCATTTCTATCACAAGGAACAGACGACGCTAGCATCATACGGTTTCAACTACTACTCTTAGTAACCAGTCTTCTAGTTACCTTGTTAAGAGACTGCTGAGTGTTTTGGACGCATCTTATATATACTGCGATCTCCAGTGGAACAACCTTCTTATCCGGGCCCGACTACTGCGTTACTAGTGTGTTGCTATTGTATTCCTAATAAATGGCACGTACGCTTTATCTTCCGACTTGCGACACTACGATCTGTGGTTACAAAATCACACAGAACCATTCTTATTTTCACCTTTCAGGAGGTGCCCATCTCACAATATGTACAAGACGTTCAACAGTCTCCGGAATTTGTCCCACGGGATGGTCTCCAAACGAGTTGAATGCTAGTAGGATTCTGATATATGGGACCAATTCTGACGTGTGCAGTTTTACTCTAAGACGGTGATGATGGTGTGCGCTCATGCGTTGCATAGATTCATCTGTCACCTTATTTAACTGTCCAGACATTAGTTATAAAGCGAGAAACAGTATGGGTACTAGTGTGTGCTAGTCTCTTCACATATTGTAATTGTGCGCAACAAACACGCAGTAGGAGGGCTGTAGATCGAGAGCATTCGATTGGGACCAAGTTCGGAGGCATAAGATGCCAGCTACTCGGGTGTGACCGCCCGTCTTAACATATAATATGAGCAGGCCAATCTGCTACCTTCATTCATCTAGCATGTACAAGTTAATTAATCACCATTCGGCAACTGCAACTTTTACTGATGAGTGTATTTCACCATACTTCAATATACTAACAATTATGCAATCCGAATAAGAAGAAATTTAACCATCTTAAGTGAGAAAAAACCTAAGCTCAAATTCAATTTGCTGATTCGACATCCTCTTTGGTTGCACGTTGGGCCTTCATTTTTTTCTGAAGTTAAGGTTCTATTCAACACGGTTGTTATTTTCAGCAATCCATGAAAATAAACTCGACAAACACAGCCATTTACAAGTAAATTTGGTTTTCAAAAAAAGACTCAACTCAATCTCTCGTTTATGATATTCTTCAAATGAATGTGCTGCACAAAGACCGCCTCATGTTTCAGTTGGTACGATATTCGAGATATCACAGCATATTTTCACAAAGGAAACTACTCACAAGGCTGCTGAATACTCTTCGACATCCCACGACAGTAACTTGGGGGCTGTGCCCTCCTGATGAGCCCTAAGGGCGAAACCGATCGTGAGCTGTCGAAGACTTTTCAGCAACCTTGTGAATAGTTTCCTTTATAAATTGAATTCACCTTATTCGAAGTATGCTTGTCTTATGATGCATTTTACGGACAAGTCACCTTTCACAAAGGATGTCTTTTGCTACACTTTCGGCTCCAAAGCCCTAGTCGTTTGTGTGCAGACAACGCCAGAAGCGAAAGGGTGGGACAAATATACTATGGATACTGCTGACGAAGAAGTCACTACTGGGAACGTCTTGTTCCTGACCCCACATGATAGTTAGGCATTCAAACAAACTAATCTCCGATTTAATATGAGTGTGGTTGATGATAATCTATACATGGTTAACATGGCACACGCACACAAATGTGGCAGAATGGCGCGAATTCGAGTGAACATCACATAAAACGAGAATGTAGGTGAAAAGGGAGAAGGCATGAAAGAAAGAGAGCAAACAACGAAAGGCAAATGAGGATGTGGTTTTCTGATCACAGCGATTCAAAGTCACAGAAACGCATGAAATGAAGCGATTTCAAAAGTCGGCGAATTTACTGGTAAACACTGCAACATGGAGGTATCAGTGAGAGGAGAATGGGAAACCAAGGCGTTTGTTGGGTTGTGACAGCACTTCACATCAGTCTTACCTAAATGAATTCGTCGGGTAGATCCCGTCTAGAATACGACTGACTCAGACCCGATGGGTAATTTAGACAAAAAACTCAGTAGGATGCCTATTTTTCGTCACATAACAGTCATTTGGCGCTTTTTTGAGTAGATGACGGACGAAGTGAGGTAAATGGGACCAAAGTGAGGTATGGAAGTCTGCAGATAAAGGGCTTGTTGAGAGCGAACCGGGTGGATCGAAGAATGAAAGACTAAGCGTGAGGTTGGTGGACAATTCATGTTGAACAGTCATCCAAATGAATCACGGAATTATATCTTCTTAAAACGCTTTCGAGTGAAAAGTCGACCGAGCAAAGGTTTGCGCTTCTTTGGTTTCTTTGGCACGGCTGATAATCTGGATTCAAAGTGTGTATTTAATGAAGTGGAGGGGATGGAAACCGTACTTGACTGGGTCAGCGCGGTTTCTAACGTTCCGATGTCCGACCAATCCGAAGATGTAAGAATATGCTCAGCTGGATAAGATGAGTCCTTATGCCAATCGACTGCCATGGTTGCGGGGTGACTTGTGGTCACAAGCGGTTTGGCTGACGGATCAGAAAGGCTCAAGGCATTGTTGTTGGACTGCAGCGAAAAGCGTGAATCATCTCGAGGGGTTGATGACAAAGGGAAAGTTGCTGATGTATCTGTTTGTCTTCGTGCAGCAGTTGTGGAAGATTTTGCGTCAGCTATTGTTCGCTTGCGATGGGATGGGAGTCTTTCATGCTTACGAGTTGGTGTTAGATCTGAAGGAGATCTTCGACGCATCGGAGCACAGTTTAGAGATAAGCAGGAGAATTTCGACTGTTTTGTTGTCTGCGAGGAGACTGAATGCTAAAAGTATAAGTAAACATAAGGACTGTGCAGCTTAAGCTGTTCTACGAGCCGAAACTATGAACGGACCACCGCAATAAAAAAAGACAGAGAAATCGCATGTAAAAATAATTTAAATATAGAGACCGGCGAACCGGCATAAAAAAAACCTTCCCGAATGGTCTGGAAAAAGCAGGGATCACCAATGAAAAGAAAAATTGTAATCTATGAAGAAGAGGGTGTAATATCTACACAAATGTCCGCGGTACAACGACGCGCTGGAGGTCAACGTGAGCCCGAACAAATTGAGAGTTATTCCAGCCTCACGTACAGCATTTGTGCTACAGAGCCATCTTTGAATAACAGCTTTACCGTAAAAAGAGACCAAACGTATCTCCTGCAATATTCGCCGCTTTTTAATTTATTGATATTGCGATCGATCTTGACTGGTGTGCACAAAATTATTAAAACATCAGGTTGTGTGAAGCAGTGGGGCACAATTCTAGTAATCTAAACTAACCGTGAAAACCAGCACATTCAAGAGCACAGGATATTCTTTGTCATCCACCGTACCTCAGTTAATTATGCGGAAGTTTTGCACTCAGCTTCCACTATTGACCAACGGTTCCCCTTTGCCACCGTATTGTTAGAGGACCAGTCTGAGCTCTGTGAATACAGTTAAACTGCAGACTTACAACTACATTTGTGTGCAACACTCTGGAAATCCAGACGAGAATTTAGCCCGTTAGTGGAGAAGTGTGGATCGAGTCATTACCGTCTTGAAACATCGTTTTTTCTGGTAATAACACAAATCATAATGTTAATGAAAACTCCTCGATAGGTTACTACTGGATCCACCTTTTTGTGGTTCACTGGGTAAACGTGGTCCCCGAGTGTCCACAGTTTTGGTTCCAATTTGAACATCAGATTGCAAACATACAAAGTTATAAGCTTAATTGTAAATTAGGTTAGCGATAATTGCGGGACTTAACTGAGTCTCACCTGAATCTTTCACTACCGCTACTAGCCGCTTACGTCAAAATGGAGAGATGACCTCTAAAGGTCCTGGATTGCACGTGATTCTTTACGTCCGGTTTAAACACGTATCCTTTACCCCAATCCATCCTAAACTACTTGTATTGTGACTCTTACTATTCAGATTTCTTGTGCTGTTTCCAGACCGGATAGAAACAAGAAAAACATGCGTCCTTAATACCTCTTCAAACGATAGACCAACACTAGTTGTATGGTATGGTTGAACGAAGCGTTCACGAGTGACTAAGAGGTGCGCAGCTGGGTTCGCCACCGTTCGTCTTCTAGGGTAATTAAATGTAGCTCATCAATATGCTCAATGTGACTTGGCGTCTGGCTAGTTGGTCGTATAGGACCAACAGCTATTGTGCAACCTATTTCCTACTGTGATATAGTTTTATGTGTAGTTTTATCGAACCACCGACCCTCATACAAACGCTGCATCAGTACATCTGAACAACTATATCGTGCCCTCAGACGAGCAAGTGCAAGTAGTTGAACTGCACAAGAAACAAATGGCAAGGATTAGAACTAATCTCCCGATTCGACACTTCCAGGACATACCCCCAAATTATCTTGTAAACGAGAGCAACGGCCTTGGAACATAAGGAGCGTGCAAAAGTTGACACACACACAGCACAAGTTCAGCACGATAGGCAACGGAAAAATTACGCTGATCACTAGTTTAGCCGTTAGCGCTAGAAGCTGTATTACAATTCAGACGTGATTTAATAACAGTTTATATCCATTTCAGGATGATGACATTCGGTGTGGTGAATATCAAAAAAGGCGCAATACCGTCGAAACAGAGGGTATGGCAGACGAATAGGCTAAAAGAACCTTTAGCACCTGTAGGCCCCGCACCGACTCCAACTCGATCAACTGATAAAGATGCTGCTGGGAAGAAAGTGTTCAATATGCAAGTGTTCTTTTCACAATACACTGTGTCCGCGACTTGCTTATTTACCACCCACTAGGGGTTACCACACCTACTAGAGCAGAGGAATTCGGCAGGTCTTGGGGTCCGCTTCGCGAGGAAATCACTGACAACTAGAAAACCTTGAAGGACTCAGTCAACGATCAAAGTTTAAATATCTAATCCATAATCAACATAATCTATCCACATTTTCTGATCATACCTTCAAAGGAGTCGATGCAATTCTTGGGTGTGTGATTTGGCGGGTGTACATCACGGGGAGAAGTCCTTGTCGTTTTCTGATTTCTTCGGTACTGCGCGTGAGTTTCAGCGTCGGTCCAGGCACGACTGTGGCGCTGTGCCCCAAGGATGGAACCTAATAAAATTGAACGTATAAACAGTAGCTTTACGACCGAGATTTCCCAGGCACCATAGAAACGCGAGAGGCATAATATGCATGTCTCAGGCTTGAAACAGTTAAAAACAGTCGGAACGTTGTGCTTGACTACATTAATCCTGAAAATGCACCAGGAAACTAAATTACAGGTCACGAGCGAATTGCACATCGAGATGGCGGTTGTGAAGTGAGAATGAATCAAAGCTGAATACAGCGGCTCAATTGACGCAAAATTGATGGAAGAGGTTATATGAATGCAGATGGATTTGCCAGATAAAAATACGCGCGATGAGACGGAGAGATGCATACTTTAGAACTTCGAAGTTCATCTTCAGAGACATGTAGCTCGACAACCTTGCCGAAGCAGTAAAACTCGACTGGTTAATGCGTTCAACGTGAAAGTATAGTGAACTAGAACGATCTTCACATTGGCAAGTAGAATCTCAGTCCGCTATGTTTGGGATTCACTTGGGCTTTATGCGGGCTGAGCACTAGTCATAGTCACGTGTGCTAAGGAAGCCTTCAGTAACACCACGTACGTGTAGTTGAAGATTCATTCAGTCATTAAGCCTAGAATGATGTTTCGCATAAACGGCTGCTTAAGTTGCTTTCTTGCTACCTCGGAATGTTTGCTGCATATGAATTTGCAAGACCCGTTATGTAGAATGGCACTTACTCATTCGGACTGAGGGTCAATCTGTGCGAATAGATGAGGGTAACAAAGTTACTAGCACGTTGTTCACATGTGCGCGTGAACCATCGAAGCTGTGTAAACTCTACGCTGTAGGTTGGCGACATCGAACGCGTCATCACTGCTAACAGCCCATGGTCTATCGGCGATTGGCTAACGAGACTAAAAACCGCTTTTTGTCAATTACGTGACCCGTCAATCAAAGGGAAAGATAATATGGTAGTCCAGAGGTGCGATGGAATACGCCAGTTTTCAAATTTTGAACGTTTTAAGAAGATTGATAAATTAGCTATCCCACAACAATTGAAGGAATGATGACTACATCCAGAGGAAACGCATAAAAGTTATTTCTACAAGGAAGCGCGATCTTCAGGCAACTTTTGTAATAATTGTCCTATTTCAGTGCCTGTTAGGAAAAAGTTCTTCCGAACCATTGATAAAACAGTTTCCGGTTTCCCGAATCGTTGATTATTCCCTACAGAGGGACATCCATTGTTATGAGGAACAACCTCTTTCACTGTTAGATGTTCCGATATATTTCACAATATGCTCGGAAGGAATCTCCAAGTGTCCTGGTGCAAATCTACCAAGGATGCAAATACCATCGTCCGCAGACACTGAGTTAAGGTAAAACACGTGGTAGAAGCTTCGGAGACGGTTTCCACAATCAAAACACATTTCTTCAGATCAAGAAGGTCATGGACTTGCTACGAGTTCCTGATCCACCTGATTTACGTCGCAGGTTGGCGCTCCAGTATCCTCAAAGTTCATTTGTTCTCGTTTGTATTTGTAACGATCAAGACCAAAAAACAGAACCCTTCAAGCTTATTCTTCCGAACGTTTGACAGAGGTGGTGGCACCGGGTTGACAGGACGCATTATTCGGATGATCTCTGTGGAACACTGAGGAACGCACAAATTTCAGAATCCGAACAGCATGTTCTTTGAGCGCACACTGTTCAGCCGGTGAGCTTCATGTTTATACCAAAAACAATTTGCCCATGTATGCTTACATGCTATTCCACGTGAATGGTCAAGGGAGCACAAGCGCACAGAAAACACAATGAAAGTTGTTTTCAATTCTGATACTGTGTTTCTCTGTCCTCCATTGTTGAGCTTAGGGTTCAAAATCGCCAGAGAACCTATCCTTCAATTGTATCTAAATTAACAGACGGGTGACACTGAGAAAAACGTGGCCCATTTCAAAGAATTCCCCGGAGGGGGCTCCGGTCACAAGGAATGATAGTACATGACGCGACTAAAGTATACTTATATACACACGTGAAAACCACAGGATGTTCGGGTTTTTTTTGGGGGGGGAGGGATATGTTGCGTCTGCTTGAGCCTTCTGCATTTAAAAGGGGACTAATTCGACAAGAGGAACTTACCGAATCAAACCGCACCTCGGCACTTGTGGAAGGAGTATTTTCGTGTTTTTCAAGAAGTCCCTCCAAGATATGTGCTGTTTTGCGTGTTTGTTGGCGAGTGACGTCACATTGTTCTGAAGGTTGAGTAATAAAGAGGGCAATAAATCAGACGGGAAAGTGATGGACTACATTGGCATACAATACTGTAAAGGTAAATACACATCTACGTTGTACCTTCTGCCATAAGCTGAGGAATTCAAAAACACTCAATGTTCGGGTGTGGTGACATCTCCCGAAAACACTTCGCAGACGAAGATACGCACAATTTTACACCCATTTTCGTATAGTCGGAGAATGGAAAACAGATTAAAAAAAAGCTTGCTGGATTTTACAGAGTTCGAATTTCACGAAAATGTGTAACAATGTATTGCCAGGAAAATACGCACAACTCACATTAGCGCATTTGGTTTGTGAGAACGAATTCTGCTGGTCTTCAAGAGACGTGGTCAAGAACATAGCAGAAACTAACCGCAAATCACTGGATTCATTGGAGCTGGTTATGAACATTTTCATTCGCCTAATGAGATCTACATTAGTTTGAAGGTATGCCAATTTAAGTCACAGGTTTGAACTCAGCTAATTAGATCAAAACTGTGTAATGAGAAACAGGAGCAAAACTTGTGACCGATAACTAACAGGATCGCACGTATCAACCACGTCCGTTCGGCACAACCGTTACACAACCACATATGATTATAATGAATGACCTAAACGGATTTCAGATTTAGGTTATTGATAGAAATGCTGATCCTGTCATGGAAACGTGGGTCACAGAAGACGGATGAATTTGTTGGTGACTGAGGTAGCCGTTCCCGTGGTCGTTATCCCATCCGCTCACCGATCGTTGAAGCGGTGAAGCATGACCATGGTTCTGCTGAAGTACTTGGCAACCAAAAAAGTACACGAAGCCCTTGCACGCCAATTGCTAAGATTGGAGAACAGATCAAGGACCACCACATCAAGCACCAGTCACTAGTGAGCATCAAATTTGAATTCGTGTTGTATAGTTGTGCAATAAAATGTGAGGGGAAATGCGAGTGTGTAGTACGGAGTTAAAAGAGAAACTAAAAAAATCAGCAAGGTGTGATACTTCTTATATACCTGGGGCGAGCGAAAGAAGGGCCGGTGAAATGGTACGATCAAGTCACGTGTATCTACTAACTGTTAATTTTCAACATGTTCGCACTGTGAATAGGCGCGCAGCTTTTTAGCACACGAGGCATAATAGAAACAAATATGATGAGTGTAAACAGACGACCACTGTGGCTACTGGTGTTGTGTGGATGCGTTTGTAAAATTTGACCGGAATCGTAAAAATAAGAGGCGTACGTCTATGAAGGACAGGATTACCAAATCACTCTTTTCACCTAATCACGGCTGACTTAACAGAGGAGGATAGAGGGTAGGTTTGTGGGAGAAATGGCCACTTGTCTACGCACATATCTCTGACATGAGGCTCGTGCACAAAGTAGAATTATTCTATAAATAGTTATTTTCCGACCGCTAATCCAACGCGACACAAACAAAGTAGTGAGAAAATTCTGGTCGATGCCCATGGATATGTCTAGGTTGCACGCGCGAAAAGCGTGTTGCCTACACTATGCGTAACAGTTATATGTAACAAAAGACGAACAACAACGCCGCACAAATACAACCAGTAAGAGCCGAAAACGGATCGAAAAGCTAGAGGGGGCGGGAGGAAAATCGATGTTTTCCTCGAATGTCCTAACTGTTTGTCCGCATGATCCCGCTTGGTTGTGATCAACTCCGTATTAGAAGACATTCAGACAATATCTGATACACGAAGTAATTGATTTTACAGAAGAGTTGGAGTGTTGGGGGCAAAGTACATTGCCACTAAAAGTGTCAAAAACAAAATATTTCTAGGCCTTGTATACACGCGTCTGATACATCGGAAGCACTTTCCCTCAACGTCGTGTTCATAAGTTGTTTAAGATTTGAAAATTCATTGTGGACGCGTGGACCAGGGTAATAATTTATGAACATTGGGATCTTATCGCATGCTGGTTCCTGGAATCGCCGTCGAGACCCAATAATTGGTTCGGTCGAGTTCAGTTAACAGATGCAGAGACGGCAAACGGGCGCAAATACGCATCATACACCTGATTCTGTCAGGAAAGAAGTAACAATGATATGGCGGTTTGTACCGGTGTGCGTGTGATACCTGCGGTCTCACAATAAAGTGGTTATTGGTTTCATGTCTTAGTAACAATCCCCTAACCATTCAGATTGGGGTGTGGAACAAATGCGCCGACTTGTGGAATGTCCTAGCATCCTTTCAAACGTAGCTGGGTTGCAGCCAGATATTCTGGTCAAGGGATTCAGTTGAATAGCCTAATTGTACGAATCTGTTTTAAGCGTCCTAGTATTATGCCAGTCAGCATACGGCTGACTCATAAATAGAATTCGTCTCATGCTACATCGACTGTCACGAGGTGTCATCGGCAGAGTCATCTTAATTGCTGCATACATCCGGATGGGTAAGCGAAAAACATGCTGCTGCTGTGTATTCCTATTTTCCTGTTTTATATATTCGTTCTTCATTCGTCCTTCATCCTATAAGCCCCCCCCCCACTGAGAAGAGTGATGACACTTACCTGTAAGCGCTGCATGTTTTTCCGTCTCCAAAGACAAGCGCTCTTCCATACAGGCTAATGAATGATGTCCTCGGTACATTTGCTTGGAAATTTGGTCAATCTGTTCATTTGCGGCATTTAACCGCTGCCGTAAACACCAATTTATGTCCAGATTGTGTTCAAGCTATGGGTGGATAGACAGAAAATTATTAAGACTGAAGAAAGCAAAAACAGATGAAGATCACTCAGCTGTCCAAACCACTTTTCTAACGCTTGAACGCACCAAAGCCATAGACGCTTTGACGATTGTTAATGGTAGTAATTGCACACTGTCTTGACAGCTGCATCAGCGGTTGCATTTCAAATGACTTTCCACGGTGGATGGAATCAGCCCGAAAAAGGTGGCAAACATAGGGTCAGCATACTCCTCCATTTTGATGGCTGTTATTTTTTTGGATGGAGGTTGAGGCAGATTTAGGCATAGACGCTGAGAGTGCCGCAGTCAGTAACACCCATGGAGGAAGTCTATCACGCAGGGTAGGTGGTTAAGCCGAACTCCACTCATACAACGAACTGCTTGAAACCTCATTCATCGGGACTCGGCCTGTGTCTTTTTCGCTGTCATTGTCCTCACTGAACGAACTGTAACACCTACCGTTCATAGGCCCTACACCGAATGTTTATTTGTTCAGCTGGTGAATAAAACAGTTGACAAACAGCTGACTGGAGGTCCTCAGAGAAGCTAATTCAACGGGGTCCTTTAAAAGAATACCAGTATTGACGAAATTTTGACCGGAATAGTTTATAGTGCAGAGTGTTCTCATCAATCAGGTTCTATGGACCTGATTAATATGGTGTCAGACAGATTTGTTTCGCCAACGCAGTTAACCTGCCGGAAGTTGCTAAATCGACGGTGAATTGCACTCAAAACCGAGTCGCGCTACTGATAACAAGTGTTATTTTGGTGGTGCTGAAAAGGAAAAACCCAGATCTTGGGCCATTATCGGTTGAAACAGCTAGAGCTTGTTCCCATCTATATGACATTTCTAATATGGTTGATCAACTCTGAACACTCGACCACGGATTTCTCTCCTCTTAAGATTTATCAGGTAGGCTTGACCCTCAAATTCACATGTCATACTTCACCTATGAACATCAATCTGCTCGGATAAGCTCTGCTGAGCACAAGACAGTAATCATTGAAGAGAAAGTAGATAACCAGCAGCGTTCCGAATATGTTTGGCTGAGGTACGTCTGGCGCTAAATACGCAAAAGTACAACAAGGGTGGCGGTCGAATTTCCGAAGTACTGTGATTTTCAGGGAAGCTATTACAGACAAGTATGCGAACCTACCCAGTTAACTGGCTGACGACGGTCATGGGCCTGAAGAATTCACAGCAGCAGACCCGGAAATAATCATGTAAGTGAGGAGTTATCAGACGAAGTTTAATCCCAGTCAAATCCAATACCCAACTGATACTTGAAAATCAACAAAGTTCAGTTACACCACATATTACGGAATATTGAAGCAACCGATTGTGCGGAATTCCGGTTATTGATAGGCTAGTGGGAAAGGTAGTACAGGCGTAGCGAAACGAGCGTATACAACACAATAGTTGTCCCGATTATCACCAGGAGTTTCCGCTATGTATTACTCGTGACACCGTGTATGCCCACCAGAAACAGACAACTGCCCTAACATGAAACTCACTTCAGAGCTGACTATGTTGTATTGATCGAACAGATGCTTCGCCAAACTTCGTAGTTCCATTAGGTCGTCCATAAGATCTACTGCACCGACAAGGTCGGAGATTGGTGGGCGTGCTGCCCGTTTTGGATAATCAGAAGATTCGGAAATTGAAGGAACGGCCGATTTCGGATTAGCGGCTCCAGGAGACTGTGCTGAGATACGCAGGGATAAACACTCAGTCTGTAGATTTTCTATCAACTCAGATAAACGTTGTTCGAAACGGTAGAGGTCACCCTCGACCACAGATGAAGATGATGGGCACGGTTGGTCTGGACGAATACGGAGATTTTCGACGATTTCTCGTGACTGTTGAATCAGGCGATGAATCAGCTAGAGTGAAAACGAGGGAGTGCGTGTTGAGGTTGTCGGAGTGAATCCTGAAATACTAAATCATCTCGTTCATTCATTCTGCTCGCTTAGCTCCATTTAACCAGAATACAATATTGGGTGCGAATACCCCAGAAATGGACATTTGTAACAGGAAGGAATTTCGGGAGTCCAAAAGCACGACAGGGTATTTGTTACGCTTACCACAAACCTGAGTACCTTAGGTGATGGAATTGTGTCCAACTGATAGCTGATTCTTCGTTAGATCCGTGTATCTTACCAGTTCACTGTTCGCCGTCAATCTGACTGCTCAGACGACAAGTAACCAACCTGGCTAGTTCGCCGACGACCTATCGAACATTCTTCGTTAGTCGAAACCATAGCAAGTTTAAATCGGACTGACATTACCAAGTGCAGAGGAGTCAAGTTGGTTCGAACAGGAAACAATGGTAACCCCAAACGGTTTCTCCGCTCCAAATAAAGACTCTTCTAATGACCACTTTGTTCAAGTTCGGGGAATGCTACCTCTGGATTGATGAGTAGGAAACAAAGGCGACCAAGAATTTGGGCGATTTAACACTACTGGTCATCAACAGGGATCGCACTGACGATGTTACGAAGCAGCCGAGTGAAGTGAAAGCTTGTAGGGACAAGAGCTATAACGTTTAATGCGTCGGTTCAAGTACCTTGACATTAGTGGAGAAAGAGCAATTGACAGCCAGTCTATCGATGAGGATGTTTCCCCTAAATGAGTACATCCAGTGTGTTGTCACTTGAACGTTCTCACTACTCATACAAAAGCGACCAGTTCAGTGATATTATTGAAATTGGGGTATTATTTGTAATTTGTCACATGAAGCAAATAAAGTTGGACGAAGGAATATGGTCATATGAGCACATGTTAGGAAGGGGGCCTTTCACGACAAACGCAGATCTAGAAGGCCAAAAGCTAAAGGCCTACTCATTGAATTGAGTTGAGATGAATTCGTAGTTCATTGCGCATTGCACTTCCTTCGTCATTGGCGCATTGAGTGCCTCAGGAGTTTTGAGGCCAGAATCTATATGGCGTTAAGGAGTCCCAATAGATGAACAGCTGTTGCCCTTTTGGACCGCAGCCGACAAATTTACAACTTGATGAGCAAGTAAATGCCAATATATGAGGTATGTAGTAGGTCGTGATGCCGTGCACGGTTACCAATAAACAGTTTTCTTGATCGGCCGTCTGTGACTCACAAATCGTGTTTAAAGTCGGAGGTAGCAACCTTGAGATGCTTCATCATGACACAGATTTTCCATGGACAAATCAGCCACACCAAAATTCCTGGCTTTTCAAAAAGAGTTGACACTAGTAAGCTCAATTGGGAATTGGAAAGTAGGTGTGTTGATTCTAGGATATGCAAATTTCAACATATTTGGTCTCAACGTACATAAATTTAGCATCTTGGAAGACTGGTGACTTGCTGCACCCAACAGCTAAGTAAAATACCAAGGCTGCAATTAATGCAGCGATCGGCGTGAGACGAAAAAGTGTCTGGAGGATCTTCCATAATCCAAGGTTTAAGGGGTCCGATCAGAAGCTCAAGATTAAGGTGTATTAGGTTAACAAAAACTTGCTTTGTTAATGAAGCCCGGTTGTCAAATCAAAGAAAACCAACAGCTTGAGTTATCGACCATTAATTTTATGAGACAGTGAGTGTTCGATTGCATCTGAGTTAGCACCGGAACACTGAAAAGGCGATTCCTACCAATTCTAGTTTTTTCAAAGATCGCTACTACCATATATGCTCATTAAGTAATTACGACAAAACCGTTTGAAAAAAGGCTAGTTAGTAAACACGGAGACGACTGTGGAAAAATTATTTCGTTTCGCCAGTCAGCCTGTACCAACCTGAGTACCGGTGATCAGTCAGATTAGGTTATTTTTACGAAAACTCGACAAGTGTCAGTGTGGAATTTCATTAGGGGACCAAAAACGTCAGTCTCCCTACAATTCGGAATGTTAAATCCGGTTCGGATAAATACGCAGTATTTTATGGATACACACAAAAGTGATTCTAACCAACACTGACCTGCGTGGATGAGCGCGGAACGATCGCATTGGAAGTTTCGTTGGTTTCATCGGGACCGGAAACTGATGATCGTAAAAATGTAGTTGAGTAGTAATCTGTTTCTGGCTTGGCGGTGATGATACTCGTAGTGCTAATGGCCCCCGGGATGCTCAAAGATGCATCGATCGTGTCGATCGGGACGCGATACACAGGCATGGTGTGCAAATCAATTGGCGTGACAAGGTTCCAGTTAGCGAACTTTCGGAGTTTTTGTTTAACCGATGACTCAGTCGGGGGTAATGGGTGACCAATCAGCATCAGTAAGTAAAGTACTTCTGTATCCCTCAAATGCAATAGACGCTTCAACAGATCATTGTGGAGAACTGATGATGATTCATTGGTTAGTAAAGGGATGCGTGGAGGTAAAATGGACTCGAAAGCAGGGCACAAATCCTTTCCTAATGAAGCCAGACGCAACAAAGAGGAACAACTGGGTCCATCAGGATGCAATGGCAAACGAACTGGCAACAAATCGTGCACGCATTTGTATCCTCGCGTTACTTCCTCCAGTTCGCGATTGATTTGGTCCAAATCTGGATGAGAGGATCGAGCACCCAGATCAAGCGACTGTCGAGAAATGGATACTAACTGACCACGAAGACAGTTCATCCGTCTGCGTAGGTGCAATTCAGTACGCTGAAGCTGGTTTTCCAGCTGCACGGCCAGTTCTGATGGCTCGCTTTGCAGCAAAGCATCGGGAATTACTAGCAACAAGTGTCGAAGAAAACGAAGTCCTGAGCGTATAGTGGATGGTCGCAGGAAACAACCGAGCACAGAGTGGAGATAGTTTGAGGAATGCAACAAAAAAGCCGGGAAATAGGCTCCAAGTATATTGAGGAATTGCAATAAGTGCAATCGCCGAGCAGATTGATTTGCGTAAACATTCTCACAGTCTTTGACATCACGGGCCGATCCATACATCTTTTCAGGCGGATTATGTTCCACACATCCAAAGCATATGTCCCGCAGTACTGGAACGGAGTGGGAGCGGTGTAGCCGTTGCGCAGTAGTAATCTGTTTGATTCCCAAAGGATCATAAGGTGTGGGAGTGCTAATGTCGACATTCATTCCAGCGGAAAAGAGCGGACGAATGGTCTCAACCAGTTGATCTTTAGTTTTTTCGGACGTCGAGCTACAAATAGTTTCGCGCCGGTCTGGTGAAAGGGGCTGGTTACCTTCCTTTTCGTAAGCCTCGTTATTTGCTAGATGATTCACATTATCAGATGAAAGACAAGCTGATTTGACCTTAATATGCGTAGGTGCTGTTGTAGAATCTATTGAAGGGGCTCTTGCCGTCTGCTCATCCACGACCTTAAGTTCAAGGGGAGGTGATGCCGCGCTGGCTGACGTGGTAGCAGATGTGCTTGGGTGTAACAGATGCGACAACATCTCCGACAACCGAGAAGACACTTCTTCTTGACCCAAACGCTCCAAAACTGTTTCAATTTCCAACACTTTCATATCCTCCTGAGCAGATATCAAATCGGATCGCATGCGCTGCCTGTATTCATTTATATGACCCTCAAACTGAACCAGCGTTTCATGTAATACTGAGAGAATCAGCAAAAGTTCACTGATTTCTGGAATACGAGACAAGTCGTCCGACAAAGGTATGGCAAGATCAGTAGGTCTACAGATCTTGGGTTTACTGTATTCATACCCCATCTGAACTTGCATATTTTCAATACGTCTCGGTAACTCTGAAAGACAGCGTATGACATTTTGAAGTAACGTCTGGAACTCCTTTTTCAGAGACTGGCTGGGGTCCATGGATGAATCCGTGACGGACAGTGGAATGTTACCAGATTGTTCAACAGCGAATTCAGCGGACTCAATCAAGTGGTCAGGGCTTGTGTGAGACGTTGTGACGGGTGCTTCCAAATTTAGCTTCATAAGTATGTTATCCAAGTATGACCGAAATTCGTCAACGGTTACATCGCAAACAGAGAGCCTAGGATTGTTCAGGAAGACATTAAGCTGATTTAGGAAATTTTGCAAACACGAAAACTTTTCGACCGAAAAATTTGATCTTCGTGATGTAGTGGCTTCCGCGGTAGGGAACCTGTCTTCAGTTGAATTTCCGTGCGACGGTGACATGGCAGTGAGCTGAATTTCGACTTTGTGTAGTAGGCCATTCAGCACCTCTACAAACTCATCTGATGGATTTTCTCTCGTCAATAAATGACGGATGCGGCAAGATTGGTCTTTACTGACTAATAAACACAGTGCGTAAACAAACGTCGACAAAACATCCGTTTTGGTACTTGCCAATCGATTATCCGCAACCATTGAACTGACATTAGTAATCCCGAGTGTGGTAGCTATTTCCGTTGAAACTTTACGTGTAGGTTCATTCAACTTCGTCTCCAAGGAGGTAGATCCCGCACGTGCACAAACTTTACCCGAATTCTCGACAGAAACTTTCAATTCTTCCAAATATTCAACTTCGTCCAGCGGAGTCAATTCCAGTGTGGAAGTAGACTGAAGTTGCTGCAGATGATCAATCAAGTCTTGGAGTTCACACGCAAAAGAGCGATAATGAGCTGGAGATAGATTTATGTGACATTTAATTTCATTGGCCAATGTGCAGCAAGCCCAACGAGTAAAAGAAAGCGTGGCGTGTACAAAACGTTTCATTACAGTGAGGTTCTCTTTGAACACCCAAAGATTCCGATCCAACACAGCAAGGTTGAGACTTGCCTGTGTACTGCATTCCTTTGACTGAACAGCACGGATAGTCGATCTCAGTTGAGCTGATGAGAGATATTCAGAAGGAATATCAGAACTCCGACAAACAGATTCCTCTACGTCCTTTTTCCCTAACATTGCAACTCTGTCGAAAATGGTAGGTACTTCATGTGTGGCGAAGGATGAATCGATATCCCCCCGTTCTGATATTAGTACAGGGGACCCCTCCGCACAACCGTCAATAAGCTGCGGGGTATCCGCAGGGTAAGAGCATGGCAGGATCTGGGGAACTAATTCATCATTGTGCGAAACATCCCGTGTATTCAACAACAACGAGTCAATGAGATTCTCGCACATTTGGCCTACTTCTAATTCATCCATCTCATTGATCCTCACAAGCAGCTCAGCAAACCTGGATTTCAACACCTGCAACTCAACAAAAAGACCGTCAACCACCGACCGGATGTTGCACAATTCCCGAGCAGCAGCATTATAAAAATCAGAAGAGGCCGAGAGCCGTCCACGCAATAAATTGCATTCATTCTCAACCTGACACTGAATTACCGAACGTTCCCTGAACAAATCAAACAGAGCAGAGCAACGCGACTCCAAAACATGCGGGGCCAAATCCGAAACAGAAAAATCACGAGGATCGCAACCCAAAAAGGTATCACAAACACCCACTATAGAACAACCAACACGCGACCATTCCAACTGGAGGGACCGCAGACGCGAGAGCTCCTGATCAACGCCGATAGCAAAGGAGTCATTATGAGACCCAGAAACTGGCCCACATACAACACTTTGATCCATAATGGGCACTCCGCACACATACGAGTTCACCACATCCACCATCGAACTCGGACAAACGGACGATAACTGAGATTCCAACTGGCATTTCTCCTTCTCCAGAACATCGATCCTGCACAACGCATCCGCCAATCGGCTCTCCAAATCCGACGATTCCACAAATATACCCTTGCTTACAACAGCACCCATCACATCCGAATCGACCACATCGAATACACCAGCAGACACCCTGTCCACAACCGGTGCTGCACGTTCACCAACAATGTCAACGTCAACGAATCTCTCTGATACAGATGACCTCCCGTCACCCAGAACAACATCAACACCAACTACCGATTTCTCCACGTCACACATCGGTACACCACTTGGAATCACCTCAAGACTCGACGAATGATCAGCCGAAATTATCGCATCCAAGACAGGTGCACCGCTCGCAGCCAATGAATCACAAGGCACAGAACCAAACACATCCTGATCAACGCCCAGACCGACGGGAGAGACCGACTCCAACAAACACGCTTCCGTCTGCTGACCAACGTCAACGCTCACAATACTCGTAACACCAAGACAATCCGGCGCAAACTGCTTCGCTGCTAGCTCACTCCTCGCACGGTCGCACACACTCAGCAACTGCAAATGCTCGCCTCGCACACTAGCAAGCTCACGCTGCAACCGGCACAACACCGCATCCGGATCCGTTTGCACACCCGACGACACAATCGACACAACTGAGCGCTCGGACACTGACAACGGAACTTGCACATCCCCGGACGAAACACCAGCAATGTGAGAATCCGAATCAAATCCGCAAACATCCAACCTCGATTCAACACCATCACACTCAATTCCAAACTCCAAACACTTCGCTGAAAGAACGCGATTCACACCATTCACACGATCCAACTCCGATGAAAGCTCAAACACACGATCTCCCAAACGACTACACTCAGCCTCCATTGATGACACCACGTATCGGACGTCACACAATGCAGCCTCGCGATCTCGAACCAACCGCGTCAACACATCAATCTGTTCACCGCGGGACCGCAACTCAACACTCAATTCCGCTTGTGTCCGCAACAATGACGAATCCGATCCATCAACCTCAGCAACTGCACCGGACAAAACCTCTGGCGGCACATCAAACGAAGGTGTCAAACACACAGGACATGGAGGAGGCGGAGGCAGTAGGTCAATGCGGTCTGACGACAAGCTCAACTCCGATCGATCCGATGGACCAACACCAACATCAACTCGTTCAGCAGCACCAACATCGGCGTCAGACACTGAATCCCCAATCAAGTGCGCCGACACCACACCCGAAACATCACCTCGTCCAAACATCTCACTCGAACCAACTCCGACATCACACATCGAGGCGCCCACATACTCAATCCAACCGTCCGAAACCGCCAAACCAACATCGGCCGGAACAGATGCGCTGGTAGGACCAATGCTCACACTCTGACACGCTGAATCAACCAATACACGACTGAAACCGGGGGTCGCACTCAAACTAGACAACGCAGATGCTTCAGACTCGCACACCCTCAGCGACGCTGACGTAGACATCACAGGAGGAACAACCAGACGAGACTCAACCGGCACAGACATCACACCACTCTTCAGGCAATCCAATTCTGCAAGCGCCTGATCACGTTCACAACGAACGGATTCCAGTCGACTCTCGTACTCTCCGGACAACTCACACAACGCACGAGAAACACGATCCGACAAAGACTGCTCCGACTCAGTCAGACGGCAGCGCAACATCTCGCACTCAGTGCACGCATTCCCTAGGCCACCAATCTGTTCACAAAGACTCGCGTTCTCACCGCGTACCGCCAACAACTCACTGCGCAACGACGACAATTCGGCATTCAACTGTTCCACGAGGACGCCAGAAACAGCCAAATCCGATGAACGACGCGCACACAACTCCTCACTCGCTGAAAGCGCCGCACACACTCGCGCATGCTCATCGCGTATCACACACGCGGCCGCCAACGACTCACGTGCAACACGCAACTCATGCTCCAGCTCACAAACACGAGCTGTGCTGGACGATGCGGAAACCAGCAAATCATTCACATTCTGCGCAAACAATGAAAACTCTGACAAGTACTCAGACCGCCATGCATCATGTGTCGAACGAAGCGCGCACAACTGTTCACGCACAACCAACAGAGCCCGCCTCATCTTCCCCAAATCAACACCAACCTCATTCACACTGGCGCCCTGCGAAGACACACGCGAACACAACAATCCACACTCCGTCTCAGCAACACCCAACCGACTAGTCAACGTAGACAATTCACGAGACTGTCGCGCAAACGCCTCCCGCAGCTGCGCACAATGCGATTCCGATTCCGACAAACTATCACGCAACCCACGTGCGCATTCCTCACTGGCAACCAAATCAGCCGCCACCGTCATCTCGCACAACTCAACACGATCGACCTGGGACAACGCAGCTCCCAAATCTGCTTCCAGAGAATCACGATCCACCGACGCAACAGCACAACTCGAACGCAGAGATACAACCTCATCCAACAGACCACGCAAGTCACTCACAGCACCGCACAAAACAACGCGCATACGATCCAACAAATCACCACGTTCCGAAAGACAATCACGAAGCAAGGAAACCTCCACCTCTGCTGACGAAAGACGCGATTGCAAATCCGACAATTCTGATTCCGGAACCTTCTCCACACCCCCACACACAACATCCGAGCAAGCCACTATTGGCTCAGTCACCACACTGGGCACTCCGCACACATACGAGTTCACCACATCCACCATCGAACTCGGACAAACGGACGATAACTGAGATTCCAACTGGCATTTCTCCTTCTCCAGAACATCGATCCTGCACAACGCATCCGCCAATCGGCTCTCCAAATCCGACGATTCCACAAATATACCCTTGCTTACAACAGCACCCATCACATCCGAATCGACCACATCGAATACACCAGCAGACACCCTGTCCACAACCGGTGCTGCACGTTCACCAACAATGTCAACGTCAACGAATCTCTCTGATACAGATGACCTCCCGTCACCCAGAACAACATCAACACCAACTACCGATTTCTCCACGTCACACATCGGTACACCACTTGGAATCACCTCAAGACTCGACGAATGATCAGCCGAAATTATCGCATCCAAGACAGGTGCACCGCTCGCAGCCAATGAATCACAAGGCACAGAACCAAACACATCCTGATCAACGCCCAGACCGACGGGAGAGACCGACTCCAACAAACACGCTTCCGTCTGCTGACCAACGTCAACGCTCACAATACTCGTAACACCAAGACAATCCGGCGCAAACTGCTTCGCTGCTAGCTCACTCCTCGCACGGTCGCACACACTCAGCAACTGCAAATGCTCGCCTCGCACACTAGCAAGCTCACGCTGCAACCGGCACAACACCGCATCCGGATCCGTTTGCACACCCGACGACACAATCGACACAACTGAGCGCTCGGACACTGACAACGGAACTTGCACATCCCCGGACGAAACACCAGCAATGTGAGAATCCGAATCAAATCCGCAAACATCCAACCTCGATTCAACACCATCACACTCAATTCCAAACTCCAAACACTTCGCTGAAAGAACGCGATTCACACCATTCACACGATCCAACTCCGATGAAAGCTCAAACACACGATCTCCCAAACGACTACACTCAGCCTCCATTGATGACACCACGTATCGGACGTCACACAATGCAGCCTCGCGATCTCGAACCAACCGCGTCAACACATCAATCTGTTCACCGCGGGACCGCAACTCAACACTCAATTCCGCTTGTGTCCGCAACAATGACGAATCCGATCCATCAACCTCAGCAACTGCACCGGACAAAACCTCTGGCGGCACATCAAACGAAGGTGTCAAACACACAGGACATGGAGGAGGCGGAGGCAGTAGGTCAATGCGGTCTGACGACAAGCTCAACTCCGATCGATCCGATGGACCAACACCAACATCAACTCGTTCAGCAGCACCAACATCGGCGTCAGACACTGAATCCCCAATCAAGTGCGCCGACACCACACCCGAAACATCACCTCGTCCAAACATCTCACTCGAACCAACTCCGACATCACACATCGAGGCGCCCACATACTCAATCCAACCGTCCGAAACCGCCAAACCAACATCGGCCGGAACAGATGCGCTGGTAGGACCAATGCTCACACTCTGACACGCTGAATCAACCAATACACGACTGAAACCGGGGGTCGCACTCAAACTAGACAACGCAGATGCTTCAGACTCGCACACCCTCAGCGACGCTGACGTAGACATCACAGGAGGAACAACCAGACGAGACTCAACCGGCACAGACATCACACCACTCTTCAGGCAATCCAATTCTGCAAGCGCCTGATCACGTTCACAACGAACGGATTCCAGTCGACTCTCGTACTCTCCGGACAACTCACACAACGCACGAGAAACACGATCCGACAAAGACTGCTCCGACTCAGTCAGACGGCAGCGCAACATCTCGCACTCAGTGCACGCATTCCCTAGGCCACCAATCTGTTCACAAAGACTCGCGTTCTCACCGCGTACCGCCAACAACTCACTGCGCAACGACGACAATTCGGCATTCAACTGTTCCACGAGGACGCCAGAAACAGCCAAATCCGATGAACGACGCGCACACAACTCCTCACTCGCTGAAAGCGCCGCACACACTCGCGCATGCTCATCGCGTATCACACACGCGGCCGCCAACGACTCACGTGCAACACGCAACTCATGCTCCAGCTCACAAACACGAGCTGTGCTGGACGATGCGGAAACCAGCAAATCATTCACATTCTGCGCAAACAATGAAAACTCTGACAAGTACTCAGACCGCCATGCATCATGTGTCGAACGAAGCGCGCACAACTGTTCACGCACAACCAACAGAGCCCGCCTCATCTTCCCCAAATCAACACCAACCTCATTCACACTGGCGCCCTGCGAAGACACACGCGAACACAACAATCCACACTCCGTCTCAGCAACACCCAACCGACTAGTCAACGTAGACAATTCACGAGACTGTCGCGCAAACGCCTCCCGCAGCTGCGCACAATGCGATTCCGATTCCGACAAACTATCACGCAACCCACGTGCGCATTCCTCACTGGCAACCAAATCAGCCGCCACCGTCATCTCGCACAACTCAACACGATCGACCTGGGACAACGCAGCTCCCAAATCTGCTTCCAGAGAATCACGATCCACCGACGCAACAGCACAACTCGAACGCAGAGATACAACCTCATCCAACAGACCACGCAAGTCACTCACAGCACCGCACAAAACAACGCGCATACGATCCAACAAATCACCACGTTCCGAAAGACAATCACGAAGCAAGGAAACCTCCACCTCTGCTGACGAAAGACGCGATTGCAAATCCGACAATTCTGATTCCGGAACCTTCTCCACACCCCCACACACAACATCCGAGCAAGCCACTATTGGCTCAGTCACCACACTGGGCACTCCGCACACATACGAGTTCACCACATCCACCATCGAACTCGGACAAACGGACGATAACTGAGATTCCAACTGGCATTTCTCCTTCTCCAGAACATCGATCCTGCACAACGCATCCGCCAATCGGCTCTCCAAATCCGACGATTCCACAAATATACCCTTGCTTACAACAGCACCCATCACATCCGAATCGACCACATCGAATACACCAGCAGACACCCTGTCCACAACCGGTGCTGCACGTTCACCAACAATGTCAACGTCAACGAATCTCTCTGATACAGATGACCTCCCGTCACCCAGAACAACATCAACACCAACTACCGATTTCTCCACGTCACACATCGGTACACCACTTGGAATCACCTCAAGACTCGACGAATGATCAGCCGAAATTATCGCATCCAAGACAGGTGCACCGCTCGCAGCCAATGAATCACAAGGCACAGAACCAAACACATCCTGATCAACGCCCAGACCGACGGGAGAGACCGACTCCAACAAACACGCTTCCGTCTGCTGACCAACGTCAACGCTCACAATACTCGTAACACCAAGACAATCCGGCGCAAACTGCTTCGCTGCTAGCTCACTCCTCGCACGGTCGCACACACTCAGCAACTGCAAATGCTCGCCTCGCACACTAGCAAGCTCACGCTGCAACCGGCACAACACCGCATCCGGATCCGTTTGCACACCTGACGACACAATCGACACAACACCGCATCCGGATCCGTTTGCACACCTGACGACACAATCGACACAACACCGCATCCGGATCCGTTTGCACACCTGACGACACAATCGACACAACACCGCATCCGGATCCGTTTGCACACCTGACGACACAATCGACACAACACCGCATCCGGATCCGTTTGCACACCCGACGACACAATCGACACAACTGAGCGCTCGGACACTGACAACGGAACTTGCACATCCCCGGACGAAACACCAGCAATGTGAGAATCCGAATCAAATCCGCAAACATCCAACCTCGATTCAACACCATCACACTCAATTCCAAACTCCAAACACTTCGCTGAAAGAACGCGATTCACACCATTCACACGATCCAACTCCGATGAAAGCTCAAACACACGATCTCCCAAACGACTACACTCAGCCTCCATTGATGACACCACGTATCGGACGTCACACAATGCAGCCTCGCGATCTCGAACCAACCGCGTCAACACATCAATCTGTCGCGCGCGGGACCGCAACTCAACACTCAATTCCGCTTGTGTCCGCAACAATGACGAATCCGATCCATCAACCTCAGCAACTGCAACAAAACCTCTACTCAACACTCAATTCCGCTTGTGTCCGCAACAATGACGAATCCGATCCATCAACCTCAGCAACTGCACCGGACAAAACCTCTGGCGGCACATCAAACGAAGGTGTCAAACACACAGGACATGGAGGAGGCGGAGGCAGTAGGTCAATGCGGTCTGACGACAAGCTCAACTCCGATCGATCCGATGGACCAACACCAACATCAACTCGTTCAGCAGCACCAACATCGGCGTCAGACACTGAATCCCCAATCAAGTGCGCCGACACCACACCCGAAACATCACCTCGTCCAAACATCTCACTCGAACCAACTCCGACATCACACATCGAGGCGCCCACATACTCAATCCAACCGTCCGAAACCGCCAAACCAACATCGGCCGGAACAGATGCGCTGGTAGGACCAATGCTCACACTCTGACACGCTGAATCAACCAATACACGACTGAAACCGGGGGTCGCACTCAAACTAGACAACGCAGATGCTTCAGACTCGCACACCCTCAGCGACGCTGACGTAGACATCACAGGAGGAACAACCAGACGAGACTCAACCGGCACAGACATCACACCACTCTTCAGGCAATCCAATTCTGCAAGCGCCTGATCACGTTCACAACGAACGGATTCCAGTCGACTCTCGTACTCTCCGGACAACTCACACAACGCACGAGAAACACGATCCGACAAAGACTGCTCCGACTCAGTCAGACGGCAGCGCAACATCTCGCACTCAGTGCACGCATTCCCTAGGCCACCAATCTGTTCACAAAGACTCGCGTTCTCACCGCGTACCGCCAACAACTCACTGCGCAACGACGACAATTCGGCATTCAACTGTTCCACGAGGACGCCAGAAACAGCCAAATCCGATGAACGACGCGCACACAACTCCTCACTCGCTGAAAGCGCCGCACACACTCGCGCATGCTCATCGCGTATCACACACGCGGCCGCCAACGACTCACGTGCAACACGCAACTCATGCTCCAGCTCACAAACACGAGCTGTGCTGGACGATGCGGAAACCAGCAAATCATTCACATTCTGCGCAAACAATGAAAACTCTGACAAGTACTCAGACCGCCATGCATCATGTGTCGAACGAAGC